GAGATTATCAAACTATTTCTTCGAAATTTTATGGCTACAGACGACATTCCGAAAACCACCATCAATACTCCCTTCGGACTCTGTGAATTTTTGCGAATGCCTTTCGGTCTAAGTAACGCTGCTCAAACATTCCAAAGATTCATAGACGACGTTTTTCGAGGTCTCAACTTCGTACATCCGTATGTTGACGACTGCCCAATCGCAAGTCCGGACAGAGAATCACATCTCAAGCATCTGGATCTTGTTTTCGAACGACTACAAAACCACGGCATTACTGTAAACGTTCTGAAATGCCAAATCGGGGCTGACTCACTAGACTTCCTAGGACACACTATAGATGTTCGAATCATTCGACCCCTTAGGACCAAAGTGGTGGCAATTCTGGATTACCCAGAACCGACCACGATCAAGCAACTACGAACGTTTCTATAGACGATTCACACCTAAATGCGCTTTACTCATGAAACCACTAACCGACCAACTTCGTGGAAATTCGAAATCCATTAATTTGGACGACACCGCACGAATAGCATTCTCCACAATTAAGGAACTTATTGCGAAAGCAACAATGCTTGCACATCAGGACCACCAAGCACCCATTAGTATCGCAGTAGACGCATTCGACTCAGCAATCGGAGGAGTCGTACAACAATGGGTTAACAACTCCTGAAAACCTCTGTCATTTTCTCTAAACGGTTGCTAGACACTGAATCGAGGTACAGCACATTCGTTAGGGAGCTTCTAGCTATGTATTGTGCTTTACGGCATTTTCAACATTATATCGAAGGCCGTGAATTCACTCTTTTCATTGACCATAATCCACTCACCTTTTCTCTAAGCCCTCCTTCAGACAAGTACTCTCCACGTGAGTCTCGACAACCGGACTACATTTCGTAGTTTACTTCAGACATTCAACACATTTCTGGAGCAAACAATGTAGTTGCAGACGCCTTATCTCACATAACGTCCTTGAACAGTTTCCAAAGAATCGACCTTCTTAAACTCGCCGGGCTTCAAAAAGAAGACAGTGATCTTCAGCACGAGTTATCGTCTACAACCCTCAAACTACGCATCAAACAGATGGGAACAGGTAAGGAAACCTTACTTTGTGACACATCTACAGGTAGGGATTGCCTAATCGTGCCGAAACATTATCGACGCAATTTCTTCAATACGTTGCACAAACTTTTTCATCCAGGTGTTCGTGCAACCATCAAGCTTATAGCGGAACGGTTTTGCTGGCCTGGCATGAATAAAAACGTGAGGAAGTGGGCACGCTCATTTGTAAGCTGCCAAAAATGTAAGGTTATCAGACAATAAATTTCCCTTAGGCTCATTTAAAACTCCCGATGCTCTTTTCGACTATGTTCATCTAGATTTGGTAGGACCTTTACCAGATTCAAATGGATACTCTTATCTCTTAACTTGCGTAGACCGTTTCACTCGATGGCCAGAAGCAGTACCTATCAAGGACATCACTGCTGAAACAGTGGCTTGCGCCTTCGTCAAACGATGGGTAGCAAACTTCGGCTGCACTTCAACCATCACTACAAATCGCGGACGTCAGTTTGAATCAGAACTTTTCCGTCGTCTGACCACACTTTTAGGAATCACTCGCTTCCGAACGACCGCCTACTACCCACAATCAAACGGGTTGGTAGAACGCTTTCACCGACAACTGAAAGCTTCACTATCAGCTGCGAACGTTTTACAGTGGACCGACGCTCTTCTACTCGTCTTACTAAGTATTCGCAATGCAGTGGAAGCTGACATTGGATACACTGCAGCTCAACTCGTTTATGGAACGACACTTCAGCTTGCAGGAGAATTCGTGGGTTCTTCATCTTCAATAAACATGGATCTAACCTCCTACACGAACAGGCTTACAAATGCAATGCGTTCAGTTAAACCTGCTTCCACTCGACCACAATCCACCGATGTTTTCGTTCAACCCGACTTGCGATTTAGTACACACTTTTTCGTTCGTCGAGATTCACATCGACGACCATTCGAATCAGCATACAAAGGACCTTTCAAAATTCTTCAACGTGAATCCAAGTACCATATAGTCGATAATAACGGAACAAATGATCAGCATCGATCGCTTAAAAGCAGCGTATTTAGAGGGAAATCCTATTCAGGTCGATTTTCCTTCGGTACAATCACACAACACGACTCCTACGCTCATAATACCTCAACCGACAAGCAACACACCCGGTGATACTTCGATAGTATCTGAAAATAAACTTAAAAGGACGCGTTCTTAAAGAAGAGTTAGATTTTTAGAACATTTAAATGATCACTGAACGTAAGGCACTACTCGACATTTTATATTATCTCGATCTTTCTTTTTACGATATATAATATTAAAATTTTTTTAATATACTTATATATTTAAATTTTTTTAAGAAAAAACAAACAAAAACACATTAAATTTTTTAACACTATTACGTGTGCTTGAGTTTATTTTCCATTTTTTTCGCCGACATTGTGTTTTTACGCACATACGAGTGTATTTCGGCATGCACTTACATGTTCTCCTTTCTTTTCCAGGACGGCTGGAAAAAAACGATGCAGAAATTTTCATTGTACTTTTTCTTTTTTTACTATGTTGTACCTCGGTCCCATATAGTAAGGAAATACAACCAGACGCTGCTAAACTTAGTAAGCTATCAAAAGAGTGTTTACCAACGACAGACTTGTTGGGTTTAAACTTCTGGCTGGCCACATCTTAGGGTCATCGCTACCCCACTAGAGGGGGTGATCTGTAGTTGTAAATAAATCCCCGGAATAAGTAGCTCTGTAAGTTTTCAACATTGGATGCTGACCATATGTTTTAGTGGACTCATCTAGCTGAAGGTGCTCGGTCATGCATCCGCACCAGATCACGTGTGGTAACGCTGTGCTCAACTTCTACCACAATCGCTAGCCAGATTAGATCAGAGAATTCCGATATATTGGTAATCGCCAAATACACTCTTCCGATCTCCCCGACTCTGTCTTTTGATATCTCTTGGTGGGTACGAGTTATATTAGGTGTTGCTGGTAAAAGCGTTGTCAAACACTGAATACCTGTGTCATCTTCAGTATCCTTAATTACGATTTGGATGTTAATATGTCTTATCTCCTTGCTCTCTCCAGCAGTAATAATCTCCGCGGTCATAGCAAAAGGGTTCACAAATCACGACATAGTAAACTTAAAGTAAATTTCCGATTTTCTAATCGAGTGGCCAATGACTCGAACGCTTTACTCAAACAAGTGGTACTAGCCTCATCAGTGAACATTTTTAAGGAGAAAATGGACATTCAATACAAGGCAATCTGTCAAGAATAACACATATTCACCAACCAACTATGCTTATTACTGAAGAATGGTATTGGATAGTGAGCAACAGAATGGTTACTAATGTAAATTGCGCGTCATTCAGTCTTTTATTTTTAATACCGTTACAATTCCATAATGCGCTTGAACCTTTATTCTGTTAACCCGTCGTTTAGATTATCAACTTGTCCTGATTTTTCATTTGAGTCATTGCCACTTGGTAACGAATGCTTTCATGAATAAATATGAGCGCATTTAATAGGGTTGTTGAGTTGACTCACTTTTTCTCGTGAGAAAAAATATGTATATTTTTCGCCTCTGTTGCTCGTTTTACATGGTACATTGAATAAAGAATAATTGTAGCTCATTTACAACTTCATCCAGGGTTTCATGTTATGAATCGATGTAGTTGAACCACGTTCACTAAATAGGTTGCTTAACCATTCCGTTACTTTGGCACAGCTGATTAGTAATGACTAATAAATCTCACAATGGCGTTTCTGGTTATGACATGCTGTGAATCATTTGGTAAAACTGTTTTCGATTTTATTACTAGTTTGGCGTGTTTTGCATAAGGAGTCAAGTTATTTAAATTTGCTTTTAGTGGCTAATATTACCGTTTAATGCCAATAAATATATACATATGCACACTTATGTGTTAAATACCAAGTGAAAATGGAAATCAGACCTTATGATATGCCAAATTCAGCATAAATGGTATGGGTGAAGCTATAATGTATAGACGAGCTTTGAGCGACGTTAAAGTGACACTTAAAATGTCCACCTACTTACTGGGTTTAAATCAAGGTTACAAAGCAGTTTGAAGAACAAAGATTATGATTTACAGTTCACGGTTAAAGGTAGGAATTGTAATTAGGGTCTCCACCACGAGCTGACATCAGCTGAATTGCTAAAACGCTATTCAGGCGAATTGATTAGTGGATTTTGCTCTAAAATCCGAAACCTGTTATTCCAAATCTGATTGTTTCGTCCATAAATTATAACTTCACGTTTTTGTTAAAAATGTCGCTGGCTTTTATACTGGCGTCGGCATTTCCGGTCTCTTATTAGGTTTATAGGGTCACTTAAGTGTTACTCAGCACAGCGCTTTATCAGTTGCTAGTGAAAATTTTGTCGATGAAGATTTCACAATATACTAAGTTTCGTGAAATAATTCGGTCTTTTAGGCTATTTAAGTTGTTATTGACATCCACAACCAGTTAACATTAATTAATCTCTCATGATACCATATTGATGACAGTCAAAACATTTTTTCAAGGTACTTATGTCTAATGATATGCAAAATGAGCACCTTATTTACAGGCGATAGAGATTCATCTTACAGCGTGTTAACATATGAATATTCCACGACGTTATAATCCGTCTGTGTATATATGATCTACTGTTCAACAAGATCTCTAACATTGTCAACCACCCTTATTTTATCTTTTCTAACAAACGCTTTGAATATTTGTAATCATTATCTTACCTCATACTTTTTCATGGTTAACTTATATCTGTGGAGGCCACTAAATGTTTATATAAGCTGTTAACCCTGCCAAAAGTCATAAGAAAATGAAATATTTTGTGCAATCACAATGTGATCCAACAATATGAATTTACATTTCATGAAACAAAAATTGGTTTCTTAAACTACCTGATCGATCATTTTCTTTTATGCAGTGCTGCTCATTACTGTGAAAACGTGTTTGTAGTTTAGTTAGCTACTTCAATTTACCAACACTTATTTACTCTCGGTGACTTGAGTCTGGGCCAAAGGAGAATTTATTTGTAGAGGTATGATTTAAAACCCATAGGTATGACTACATGATAAGACTGCAAACTACCAGTAACTCAAATAAATCAAATAAGTCACTATGACAGTGAGGTCGAAACAACCTTAGATATTCTAGAAATTTGTGGCCCGAAGTGGAAGGATTAACAGAGTAAGTGATGTAAAAAAATAAAAAGATACTAATTTGATTTTATAAACAATATCTAAGCGATTATCAACAGTATCACACCACAACTGGATCCAGAGAATTGTGGGCAAAAACGGAAATATCACTTTACAATATTCAGTGGATTACCCAATGGCTTAGACGGTTAATCAATTGTATCCATTTACAACTGTATATCCATCTTATTTTTTCTCTCTTTTAGATTTCTACATGTATATTTTTACCACAATACCTCGATAACATACATTTAGAATAGACCAGAGGATTCAAATATCGGACACTATAGATGATACAAACTAAAAGTTCGTGGACTCCATTGGTGAACAAAGACGCAAATAAAACGGTATTGTTTTGTTTAATTCTTCCATTACTTGTCAGTTTTAGCTTTTTGAAGAACGAAAAAATCTTATTTTAGCTTGGGTATGAAATAAGATCGCGTTTTACATAATCTTTAGTTTGCCAAATGGTCAGAAAGTCAGAGAAAGGAGTTAATGACGAAACTTTTCGAGTTATGCACTCAGAAACAACTTGAGTCACTTTTTCACAATATAGAAAATAAAATTCCTTTATACCAAATAGATTTTACTAGAATACTACCAAGAGTTCTATGCATTTATCTGTTCTCTTTTCTGGATCCTAGAAGTCTCTGTCGCTGTGCACAGGTAAGTATTAGCTATTCATTGGATATCTTCTAGTTTTTTTAACAAAGACATTCAATTTCATAAACCGGTTAACAACAATAATATTGTTCATATACTTATATATACTTATATAGTGTCAATTACTTTCTTTACATTTCATATAAACATTGTAAAGAAACACTTCTTAAAGGTTTATAGAATAGGAAATTAATAACTCAGTAAATACACGCTATTGATGTTATATCCTTTGTTATAATACAAAAGCTCATGGTCATGAATAACATTTGTATATAACGTGAGTTCCTAGTCGCATAACTGGTCTGTAGTATAAATCAGAACAGTGGAAGCACGTTCAAAATAAAATGTTACCAATATTTTCCGTGTAGTCATTATGAACTTGGAAAATCTGCTCACAACTAAAGAAAGGTAATAAATTCAATTGCATATTCTGTATCCAGGTATAAGAATATTGATCGCTCTAGCTAACTCCAATCATCTGAATAAGTTTGTGTGCGGTGATTTTGTTCTGGATTCGGACCTCGCGTGCGGCGGGATCGTCAATGCGCACTGTTGGGGGGTCACATACTTAAACGAAACGGCCGTCCAGTACTCCCAAATTTATCATGGTGGTCTAGCTTCAATTGTCTCATGATTCCAACCAGTGAAATCCATACATTCTCTAAATTGACCTCTTTATTTAATCCGATTAACTAGACTAATTGATATTATAAGGTTAATAGAAAATGTCTTGAGAATGAATATTCTTCAAATAAACTAGTTCACTAGACCACGTGCATAAAAAGTACATGGAATTTATGAAGTGTGTTTTGTATGTGAATTGGTGTAGTGATCAGTCATTGTGTTAGGTTATTAAATATAAAAAACCAAGCATATGTTAAATGAATTTCTGCGTCAGTCAGTCGTCAATTAAATTGTTGAGTCAGCTAGTAAAACGACATATTTAGTACAGTAAGTGAATAAATAGAAAAACTGATAGTCATACATATATGACATTAGACATGGATAAAATTTGATAAATAATCATATGAATAAGCATAAAATGATTAGTAGTATCAAAAGTGTCATATTGGTATCTTGCTTTATACTTATTTAAATAGAAATAGATTTGAGTAGGTCTATGGTTCGAGTGAATAGCATGAAGCTGACTTAAAGACAAACTCATTTCTTTGATGGTTATTCATCAATAACATGACCATTCATTGTCGCGAACATCTTGACTTGTTATATCAGCTATTTATAAGTAATTCAACAAACAGTCCAGTAGCAAATATTTATCGGTAGTTAAATTGGTTATTAAACTAATCAACTTAAATATGAACCATTTTTGAGTGAACCTCTTCGTGAAGTATAGATGGCGGTATATTTGTCGAAAATACTGCGTCATACCGACAGAAATTACAGTGAATAATAAAGACTTGGTATTTGATGTAACGGTTTAAATGATCCCGTTGTACAGGTGAGTAGCTATTTAGACTCAGAAGCCAGGTGGATAACCCATTAGCGTTTGAAGCAAAAGAGATGGAGTTTGAACCCTGAAATGAGCATCAACCCTAGGATGCAAGAACAGTTAGCTGACGAGACCTAAATAGGAAAAAACTTGCATCTTGTATTCTACTGCTAGCTACATTCAAATTATTTTATATGGATATAGTTCAATTTATTATGATTTCAAAATCAAGAGTTTAAACCTCATCATATGTTATTTCCTCTGTTTCTTAATCCTACATACTAATAATAACCATTTAGATATATCTGATACACATCTAGCTTGACTGAAAATTCACTGCTTATCAGAAATCGAACCTAAGTTTCAGTCAAAAGTCTCTAATTACACGTTGAAGAGAAAGTAGAGCTACTTTGTCATAATATTAGAAAACGATAGTTAACATTAATCAGTGTTTATAAAATACCATGAATGAAACGTTTTAGTGCTTTGTATTCTCTAATGGTTCTCTGTTTGTAACTTACTTTTAAAAATCTTTTTCTACGCAAATCTATCAACGAATTTGTTAGCGACACTTTTCTCTCGTTCTAAATTCAGAATGTTGCTTTAGAACTGACTTAGTTTAGTACTTAAATTGGCTGGACACAATAAATTATTCATTGAGTTGATCACTTTATTTGTCTTGTAAGTCTCATTATCCCCGGTGAATAGGAATCGGCGAAATCTCGATTGGAATTCAAAACACTCGGTTGATATTTATCAGTTTACGTTACTTGTAGCAAGATGTCCGTTTAACAACTAAGAGCCGACTATACTGCATGGTAGCCCCCTTTGTATTACTCTGTAACTATGAAACATAATCTATGAAAGTGGAGAATCTTCTTAGATTATAGGCTTTTAATTATGGATGTCTTTGAAGAACTTCTCGAGTATTATAAAACAACTGATTGGGCAATGTTTAAGTGAGATAATAGAGTATCAGGCAAAAGTGCCAAACTAGCGGAACATGTTTTAAATCTGTTATATCCACATCGCTTATTACTTAGTCTTAAAACAATTTCGACAACGTGAATTGTGAACACGGAAGACTGGTACAAATGAAGATTTACTCACCCCAAAAATATGATGACGACGGCGACGGCTACTGTAGAAAATACACTTATTTACAGATTGATTTGTATACAACTTTAGTTATCAATTAGGAAAAAGTTATATATATAGAAAATGGCCAAACTAATAACAAATCACATGCCGTATATTATGCTGAACATGATTTATGTTAACTTAACACAAGAATAACTTATCTTTAATAAACATCACACTGAATAATTATTATATTAAATTAGAATATGGAAGTAATTTTGGACAAGAATCATAATCAATTAAAATGTAGTATTGTATAAAAGCCTTCAAAGACTTATACTAAGGTTTATTGAAGCCTTGACTATACGGAAAATTGAAACCTCCTTTATTTGATGATGAAGAAGATTTGAAAGCTCTACGACTAAACCATCCAGCTCAGAGAGTAGACCTACATCAAGACCATCTTTATGAGTTCAAAAACAATTTGTCCTTACCCTTAACCTACCATGGTAATACTGATTTATTATCCAGAATGATTATCTTTATTTATTTATTTCAACACATAAATATTGGTACAAGAGAATACCAAATAGATATGCGCCACACCATAATTGTGTGTGTGTGTGTGGGCTGTGAAACTGACTGGGTGCCCAAACCGAACCAGGTGGTTTTCTTAGGGGGCCACTCCTCGAGCCTTCGACCTGAAGGTCTGATCCACAAGGTAGTGGAGCATCGTAAGGAGATGCATTCCCATGGAAGCCGGTGACCAACAATACGTCCAAACATCATTCGTCCCTTCAAGATACTGGAGCCCATGTGCACCACAAGTTTGGAATCCGGTTAAAGTGCCGGACATTCGCTTTTCGTCCTCTCATTTTCGTAAACCACACCCCCACCACGAGAAGGCAGTGAGTAGGACTTCCCTGACAGAGGCTGTATACGCGTGGCCGTGTGAGAGCATTTTGAGAGTGAGGGCGAGCCCACCCCACTCTCGACCATATCAGGGCATTTGGGGGCACTTTATTTATTCATTTATTTGTTACGGTTTACTTTTAACCTGTATAGTTGACCTTTTAATTTTCATATAAAAATGTCTTAAGAAGTATATACGGTATGATCAGATTGTTCGAAATGTATTGCCCAAATATATCACATAATTCTGATAAACTTCGTCTTTTCATTGCATGATCGAAATTAAAGATGCAATTTTGCCTCTTCATCTTGTCATATTCTTAATCTTTGTCAACTTAGGTCGTTAAATTGTGTGTTCCATATTTCTAATCACTGTTTAATCTAAAACGTTTTCTCTAGGTATCATGGTATTGGAGATATTTAACTGAATCAAATGAATTATGGGCATCGAAGTGTTTAAGATATGGATGGGATTTAATCGCTTCACATAGTCAATGGGAACCTGGAATTTGGAAGAAGCATTATATTCAAAACATACGTTATCTTCAGTTTCATATTTCAGAGAAGGTGAGCATATTTATTATAGTAATAATGATAATAATAATAATGACGTTTTATGATTGGGTATAAATCGACCAGAGTCAAACACAATACTCTTATATCATTCAGTGAGAAACTTTTCTTAGTTTACACCACATTGTGACCATACTTAGGCGAACATCTGTTTCATCCTACTATGGGGTTTCCCGAAAAAATTCATCATCTCTCACAAGTGAATGACTTCGAAAGGTGATTCCTAAGATGCTGATGAGAAGCTGTGTCCAGTGGAATCCAACCAGTTAACCAACGAGTTTATTGAAAGAAGGCTGCGTAATATTGTGAATTAATTAAAATCGGACGTGTAAATCAGTGGTCTAAAGGTTTAGTGTTTCCAGAGAAACTTGGAGACTCTGAGTTCGAACCCCATTTACTGGGATCGTCATAATGTACTGTTGAAGAATCCTATGGTAAGAAAAAATAGCTGTTGGGTGCTTCCTAATCTTTCCATTGTTGTTTAAATGACTCATACAATTCTACAATTCCATAAATCCTATACACTGAGAAAAGTTTTTATTCTCTTACCGTAACTCTTAATTTACTCCCTTTATTTATTTATTGGAGAAACATTTCTGCCTTCTTGATAAGTTATGGTAAAGTACATTCATGTTTTCTCTAACTCAGTGCAATATTTTACGATATTAGCTTCATTCCAGATGTAGCATTGAACATCAGTTTTCTTCTCAATATAAGGTTTTAGTATGTCAGTCAGTCAGTAACAACGTAAAACTTCGTACGTAAGTACATCAGTTCGAGTTACCATAACACATTAGCACAGAGATACAGTTGTCGATTCAAATCCCGTAGTGGTATAGGTAATAAGAGTATGAGCAGTAATCGGAAAGATTAGTGTTTGGAGATGTTACTTAAAAAGTATAATACAGTGAAATAAATTTGGGAAGAGAAAAAAAAGAGACATGGAGGAATGAGGAGATCGAAATTTGGGAGAACACAAAGAGTGTATGCACCTGCGCCATTGCAAACGATTTTGAGCCATCTCATTCAGGGTTTCTAACCATCGGTTGCTATCATCCCGCTGTCCTCAACCAGATAGTCTACACCTACCAACATGACTCAGTCCACTTGTCAGTGACTTCATGAACTTGTGCCATGTTTTGGTCTGGCCGCCCCTAGCTTTCTTCCAACCTACTCCTATACCACTGAACATCGCACGTCGAGGCAGTCGGTGGTTGGGCGTAAGTAACACGGGTTCCAACCATCTCAACTGATGAAGTTTCACCACTTCATCAATTGATTTGCTATCAGTACCTAGTACCCGTTTCCTAACAACTGCATTGCTTACTCGGTGGTTCCAGGATATACGAGTAATATTTCGAAGACACCTATGATCAAATACTAGTAACCTACGAATATCCTCTCTAAAAGTACGTCGACGACAAAGTCAAACAAGAATGGAAAGAGTGGACAGCCCTGACGAACACCACTTGAGGTAATCAATTCTGATGACAGTTCGCCATAAGCTCTCACTCTACCAGTTGTGTTCGAGTAGAGAGCCTGAATAAGGTTAATGTACTTCTTTGGTACTACTTTCAGTGACAAACACTGCCATAGAACTTCACGATCGAAAGAGTCGGATGCTGCTTTAAGGTAGATAAATACTACGATTGTGGGGTGTCTGAATGTGTGTCTGTGTTCTAGAACCTGACGTAGTGTGAATATCTGGTCTATACAACCACGTCCGGGCCAAAAACCGGCCTGGTTTTCTCTGGTCTGCTCTTCATGAGCTTTATTTAGGCATCGAAGTATTATTGAAGCTAATATTTTAGACACTATATTAGTCAAACTGATTCCTCTATGATTGTCACAAGAGGACTTTTTTCCTTTCTTAAAAACTGGCACAATCAGTGATTGAGACCAGTCAGATGGGATTACGTCCAGTTCCCAAATTCTACCTAAGACGTCAGTTAATCTCACAGCTAATACTGAACCACCATCCTTAAAAATCTCAGGAGTAAATCTGTCAGGACCTGCTGCTCTCCAAATTCTACCAAAGACCTCAGTTAATCTCGCTGCTAATACTGAAGGTTATATTTTCCAATGTAACATTATCTCACGTGAATAGGGTTTGTTTAAATGGTGAATTTTGATTGGTATGATCGTTGTGAACCTTCGTCTAGTGTTATAACTATATTCTTTGTAGTTTTTTATGTGAACTTCATATGTATTTTAAAGTAAAACTGTTTAGTTTTTCATTTATATGATGTTCATTAACATCATCGTCATCATCAAGTGTGTGTGAAATTAGCATAGAAATGAGTGAATTCAGTTGAAAGGTATAATTTTTTACAACTTATTTTGGGAAAGTGTTTATAGAGGGTCACTAAATCTTAATTTGTGCCAGTTCTTGTGTTTTTACTTTGCATCGTTGGATGTGCAACTGTTCCTCTTTCTGAGTATAAACAATAGGACAGCGGATAGATCAGAGTTGACACATAAAAAACAAAAGCGACGCTAGATATAACACTTCTGTTAGGATGTTATCAACTTTGATGAATGAACGATGGCTGATATAATTAAATAACCTTTGTTGGATTGACAAAGCTAATAAAATGTGTGTATTTCTTAAGATGACTGATACAGAAGAAAATCTTTTATGTTCATAGGCAATGTACTCTTATGGAATCCTATGGATTTGACGAGACAATAATCTATGAACGAACCAATCAGATTTAAGATAATAGGTCTTAGATTTTGACACGAAATTCATTCACTCATTTGGCTAAATAGAGTCTTGGCATTATAGCTAATGACAGTTCGCGATGAAAACTTTAAAGCTAATTCCTAAGCCCAACCATCAACTATATATCATAAACCTTATTCTTCAAATTGCTTTATAACCTTAATTTAGGCTTAGTTAGTAGGTAGACATTCTCAAGGCCACTTTCGCGTTGTTCAAATGTCGTCCATAAATTATAGTCTCATCATCTAGAATTCTCAGCACATAGTATTTCAACAAGTTTCCGTTTTTTATTTCATGGTTGTTCGTGACGATAACATATTGAGTGATCGCCAGTTAGATGTTAACAGTTCAGTCAATCGACATCTAAATAATGTACATACTTTTCGTTGCATGTTACCAGCAACCACGATATCTTTGATCGAGCCTTTTGTAATTTGTACAACGAAAGATTGTACACTTTTCATAAACTCACCTGAATAGGAAGTTATGAAATGAATATCTATAATGATGTGTTAAAACAAACAATAGGGTTGCATTGCTCCTTCTGTCTTTCGTTAACAGGTAAACAAGAAAAAGGAGACAATAGGAACAAACCCGATCATAATTGAAGATGTGAGTAAATAGTTTAGTACACAATCATATAACCTAATTAACCATTCACTTGGTATTGTTTGGCTTGTATCTTCCAATTGAGGTTTAAGACTGCAATTGATCAGTCTGTTATTGACATATGTGCATACTGTGCATATGCCTCGATATTGTCTTGATTCACAAGCTTTTTGTAAGCAATCATGGATAGTGGCTACCATCACGCGCGTTTTTTCCTGTTCGGAACTCGTGAGCTAGATGTACCTGCATCTCAGAGTTGATGTTCACTCTGGGACTCGAACCCAGACTGATCAATTGCAGTCTTAAATATCAATGGGAAGATACAAGCCAAATAATACCAAGCGAATTTAAATTCATCCCACCGCACAAGCAAGTGGCTATCAGAACTCAGTAGCTGAGTGGATAACGCGATAGTATTTGAAGCGAACGGTACTGAGTTTGAGTCCCAGAGTGAACATCAACTCTGAGATGGGGGTACATCCAGTTGACGAGTGCCAAATAGGATGAAACGCGCGTGCTGGATTCCACTGTTAGCCACTATCCATCATTGCTTACTAATGAACCATTATTTTAAGAAAGAATCTTATATTCAAACGAGAAATATATTCAATACTGACTTGATTTAAATCTCTCCATAACTAATATCCCTTTTTCTATGATAAAACACTATTGTATTCAATAAAGTTCAACTATTTTTGTTGTTGTTAATTTGAATCAATTCCTTCTCATTTTCTTGAATTCTAGTCAATCAATAAAGAAAATGGTGATACAAGAGAAAGATGTTCAGAAGAACTATTCAATAAAAGATGTCATACATTGAATTTTGTAAATAATCATCATCAGGATCATTATAAGAACAATAATATTGATACTACTATTAATACTACTACTACTACTACTAATAGTAGTACTAGTAGTAACCATGGTGATTATGATAAAAAACAGGATGTAAATAGAAACTGTAAGTATATAATAGAATGAAATAATCATTATTTTATACATCATATATGTATAGATAAAATGATTCAATTAAATGATACATCTAAATTAATACCATGGCGTGCACCAAGTCGTAAACCATCTGATACTCATCGTTTTAATTATTTTGATAATAATGAAACAAACAAGTTAAAATCTTCTAAAAATGAATTTCAATATCGGTAAGATTAATTTCTAATCAAGTTTTTGTTCTTTCCTTTATTGTTATTATCTTTTAATGACCTTGTTGATGGTGTATTTTATGAGTATCATTAGATGAGATCATGAGTCAATTGAAGCTAGACCATCATAGAAAACCTGGAAGTACTGGATGGCCGTTCTGTCCTATTGTTGGACTCCTCAGCAGAGTGCATCCACAATCCCACTACGCGTGATTCAAACCCAAGACTTCTTAGTCTCGCACGCGAGCACTTAACCATTAAACCAACAGTGTTATTGTTTAACTTCAACTAATCCACCAAATCGAGCGAAAAATCCACCATTGTTATCAGTGAGTCACTATCTCACAACTAACCCAGTTGAATTCAACTGTCACTGCTTTTCACTAGAACTCCAGGATATACATCTTGAAGCCAGTCGTGGATGCACACTGCTTAGGTGTCTCACAATAGGACAAAACGGCTGTCCAGTGCTTCCAGGTTTTCTATGGTGGTCTAAATTCAATTGATTCACGATCTCAATTATTAAAACAATATATTATCGTTGACTTAGTTTCTTAAGTATGTTATATCGTTCAAAATTGTGACCATATTATAAGCTTGAGCCATCTAATATTTTTATGAAGAGTTAACATGAAATCATTTAAATGACTTAGACTTTCATCATGGTTTTATTGAGAAAAGATATAGTTATATACTTTTAGGAGTCTCTAGTACAGTTATTCTGACACGTTTTACAGTGATATATCTCAGGGAGTGGACGAAACTCATGTACAGTAAACCAGTTTACTATTATTACGATTACTGCTGCTAAGCATTCTACACCCAATTCCTGCTACACGCCATTTATTTCTGTCCGCATAAGTAGTGAATGTCACACTAGTAGATCCAAAATACTAATTGAAGACTGTTATATTTTAGGTGGAGTTGAATTAGTATATCTCAGGTATATTTAGTTACTGGGATTAACTGTTTTTATGTCATCGGGTTATATTTATTTATTTACCTAATTAATTGCGCCTGTTATCCCTCATGGAGGAACATAGGCTGCCCACCACGCTTTCTCCATTCAACCCTGTTCTGAACAATCATTTATAGTTTTTATTCATCCTTTTCATATATGCTTCCGATTCCCGACACAATGTGTTGTTTAGCCTCCATCTTTTCCGTTTTCCTTCATGATTTCAAGTAAGCGCATGTGTAAATGAGAAATAATACAAAGTGCCAGGCTGTATATTGGTTGTGACCACTTCTCAAAACTGTCTGCTATAGAGTTTATGGTTAATTCAGTTGATGAAGTATTTCACATTGTAAATGTTATTAACACAGAAAATTGTGACTTTATATGGATGTTTACTTCTTGATTTGTGATCCTGAAAGTTTCTTCATGAATTTCCACAGTAATCATCAGATAAAGTTATTTTGCTTAAATGAACTAAATTGATCTCCTATAAATTGTAGCTAATAATCTGTCGTTCATTTGTAGCTGAGCAAGACTTGATTGTCCTTTCGTTTCCACTTCAATCATTCTTTGTTCTCGTTCTATTTTCTTTGATCTTTTTAACTTTCTACCTCCACGCATTTCACTTTCGACTGATGATACATACTACTTATATCTGTCAACATAAGTAGCATACACCGCAGCATTATTTGCTTCTAAAAATATCAGTTTGTTTCCTAATTTTTACGATATTGTGAACGTATTTATACACTCATGATTATTGCTTAAATTAATCTTCCTTGATCTGATTGAAATATTTTATAAATAAGATCTATATTTCGAACTTTTCGCGGAATGCCCTCTATGTACTCAACTACTTCACTCTCTATGATTTGAATCAACGTAAAAAGAAACTCTCGAGACGTACCTGTTTTGTTAGTCAAGTCGTTCCAGAAACCCTGAATAATATCAGCGTCCTCATCAAACAGAAATATGTGATCTGCTTATTTCAGGAAGTTTTCAGAAATGAGTGGAATAATTCGATTCTCTGGTTGGAAATGATTAAATCAATTTAACATATGGATATTATGAAGACATGAGGAACATCGCTTGAGATTGCTTTTTGTTATTAAACTTAATTTGATAAATACTGTAAACAAAATTTACTTTAAACTATTTCTTATCTAAAACTTTGCATGTAGCTCTTCTAGAGTTAATGCCGATCCCAAACCAGGGTAAAGGAGGAAGGTTGGGAATAGAGTTAACGATCCCATACCCTATAAAAGTAACTCGTTAAAAAACACTAACAAGAAAAAATAATTCAAATCATTTAAACTTTGCCCTGAGAATTAGGTAGTCTTCATTTAGAAGAGTTATTACGCCTCATAGTCAAAGCCGAGTTCCTTCGTAAGCCACGAGGCTGATGTCTCTTCTAACAACAAGCGCAACAACTTTTATGGTTACATGGAAACTCCGGACAATGTGGTAGACCGGGAAGACCAGTCAAATAGCAACGGAAATGAGGAGATACAAAGTGGCAGTACTGGAAATTTTTTATCCGATGTTTTTCTTTTTTTTTTTTTGTTTACAAAAGGTTCAGTAATAGTGCTGGGTCAACAAGAAAGAAGTACTCATTATCATCATCATCATCATCACCACCCCAAACTGATGATATTTACAGTAATGGTATTAATGGTGATGTTCATAATCTGTTTAAGCATGAAACAATACAGAAATCAACATGTCCTAATATTACAATGTTCACAAGTCATCATAATTCAATCACATTACCTTGGAAACCTACATCTACATATCCATCTGGAGCATATTATCTTAATACAGAAAAAATGCAACCACTACAATATAGTATAATTAAAAAATATTTTAATCCTAATTCTAATTTTAAAAATAGTTCAAAATTAAATAAAATTGAGAATAATGAACCGCCAAATCATAAACTACATTTGAACAACTCAAAATTGAATGGATCATATAAACAACTGGATCATGAAATCGATATGGTCAATTTCTCAAATGTATGTTCTTTTTCTGGTTAATTAATAACTTTAACACATAGATATTGATACAAGTAGGCACCAAATAGATATGCGCCACAATTCGTCATCCGATTTGTGTGACGGCTCGGATACTACCCGGGTCCCCAAACCGAAGCAGGTGGTTTTCTTAGGAAGCCACATCCGGAGCCTTCGACCTGAAGGTCTGATCCACAACGTAGTGGAACATCGTAAGGAGACGTTGTCTCATGGTAGCCGGTGACCAACGCCATTTGTCCACTCAGGATTCTGGAGCACATGTTCACCATTGGTATGGAACGAGGATTTTCCAACCCCCCTAGGTGGATCTTCCGTATTATCCAGGCCATTTGAACCTACGGACATTCGCTTTTCGTCCTCTCAATTTCGTAAACAACACCCTCACTAAGAGAAATCAGTGAGTTGGACTTCCCTGGCAGAGGCTGTATACGTGTGATCATGTGAGAGCATTTGGAGAGGGGTAGCCGACTCTCCCCGCTTTCAGCCGTACCAGAGTATTTGCGGGATTGATACTGGTTTCATTCTTTTTCGTAGTTATCAACTACAAAATTGCAAACCGAATTATTCTTAGGTCCAGTCAAAGCTATTTATTCCTAAGCTATTTAATTCGATAACAGCTATCCCTCATTTAGTTTAAAGATACACATTTCCCATTAGCACTAAATGTATGAAACCACTGTCATGTAAAGTTTCATGTCAATTGGTTCAACATATCTGAGATCTAAACAAAATCCACTACAACTATGTATTACTTAGCTTTGTATTATAGTTTACTCCGCATCACCTTAGCGAAAATTCAGAAATTGGGTATCGCAGTGTCTGATATCCGCTAGTCAAATTGCCAATCTTAACGGTGAAAAAAGTTTGGACTCAAAACTTTGTATTCCAACAGCGAGAATCATGTTACGCTTGTATGATTTTGATATGATGAAGACTAATTGTAGCATAGGATTAGGGTTTCAAGGGTATTTTTTGTCTGAGCTGGTCGTGGTGCATTTTGCAGTCTTTCTAGATGACATAATCAGCGAAAAATTCAATAAGAAGTGGATTATTAGAACTTCTTCACAACTGACTAACTACATGATTTATTGTCCTAGAATTAGGTTGATTGTTGTTCTTAGATCTGCATCTGCATTTCATTCCCATCGATACACATTAAAATATCACATATTTACTCTCAGTTAAACTGTAAATTACAATAAACTTCTGACCCCTATCAATCCAGATACATCATATTCAAAACAAAGCGGTCATCTCAAGTACCTTCGTAAAGTATGACGACACGTCAACTGTATCACATGTTTATACCTTATGTTTGAGTAGTCTGAATGGAATCCTTTGGCGTCGGATATATGATTGGTTATATTCCTTAGCAGAGGGATGGTGGCTAGCAGTTTAATCTAGGAGGCATGTTTCAACCTATTTGAGACTTGTTAGCTGGATGTACCTGCATCATAGAGTTGATGTTCATTCCAGGTCTCGAACCCTGTACTATTCACCATCGGTTCATTCACTTAGCTACTGAGTTCAGATAGCCACTGTTTCGTGCAAACAGAGTGAATTTTAATTCATATACACTGATTGCTCGGTTCTTTTCATTGATTAAAATGCTTGTGAGTTAGTAGCAATATCGAAGCAATCGGCATAGGATGCACATATGCCAAAAGAAAATGTTCAGTTGCAGTACTAAATATATATGGGGAGATTCGAACAATCAATATATAAAAATTGGTTGTACTCTTTATTCTATACTTATTCATATTCTTCTACTGATCTATCCTAGAGCCTATCCGGTTTTATTACATTTCCGAATTGGTTTGTGTGAGTACATAATTCTTTTTCGAAATATTGAAGCCTAAGCTAATTTCCTGTAGTCTTTAATTTAAGTTTTCCAGAGATAAAATGCATATATCTACATCCTTCACTAATTACAAGTGAGTCTTATTGTAGGTTGTTTAAATGTCTTGAAGAAGGCCGTTCAAGAGCAACCCATTTGACCAAATAGCGTCTTGGCATTATAGCTGATGACAGTTCGCGATGTAAACTGTAAATCTAATTCCTAACCCTAACCATCTTTCATCGCCAATGCTAATATATTTGAAGCAAAGATAGGTAGTGGCTAGCAGTTGAATCTAAGGCATGCGTTTCGTCCTACTTGGGACTCATCAGGTGGATGTACCTGCATCTCAAAGTTGATGTTCACCCTGTCACTCGAACTCAGTACCATTCGCTTCAAACGCCATCACATTATTCACTTAGATACTGAGCCTTGATAGCCACATGCTTGTGCAGCGGGGTGAAATTTAAATTCACTTAAATCTTATCACTATCTATCTTTGCATATAATTCTTGTGAATGAAGATTATATCAAGGCAATACGCACAGTATGCACATATACCAATAAGAGACTGATGAAGAACCGATTGATGTTAGACTACCTTTGGAAAACTGGAAGCACTGGACAGCCGTTTCGCCGTATTATGTGACTCCTCAGCAGTGCCCACCCACGATCACGCTCGCGGGATTCGAACCCAACGCCTTCGATCTCGTGCGCGAACGCTTAATCTACTTGACCACTGAGCCGACATCCAGTGGTGATAGTGTCTAACATTAACCAACTGCAATCCTAAACATCAATGAGAAGATTCATGTAAAACAATAATACTAAATGAAGCCAATACATTGATTTCAAATATAAATGAAATCTCATATCATTTAGTATACTCATATATGTTTAATAATAAGTCCTTTTTCTATAATTTTGTTTAAATTAAAACAGAATAAACAAACCTATGAAAAATCGATGGTTTTGGAAGAAATGAATTCTCAATAGTAAACATAGTAATAATAATAATAATTCTCCACACATGAATATACTACTACCCTACAATAATGAGTAGTTTAAATTAATTTGTAAACTGTAAAATGAAGCTTATTCACTTTTCCATACTGAATGAAAAATATATTTCCTTTATTGTTTTAAAAAAAGTTCGTTTAATGTCTAATGTTCAGTGAAAAATTTCTTCATTTGGGAATGTGATTGATGATTAAGATTGTGATGATATAACTTTTTTCTTATCTTTGAAAACCATTTATATTGAGTTAATTTAGAGAAAATCATAGTAGTTCATGTTAAATTACTTTGTTAGATATTAACACCTTTAGATGCCGACTCAGTGGTCTAGAGGTTAAACGTTCGCGTGCGAAACTGAAGGTCCAGGGTTCGAATCCCGCGAGCTGGATCATGGATGCGTATTGTTGACGAGTCTGATACTAGTAAGAAATGACCGTCTAGTGGTCTTAAGTTTTCCATGGTGGTTCAGCTTCAACTGACTTATGAATTAAACCACTAAAATACCTTTGTATTAATAAATTTAATTTTGAACAAGGTAAAGAAGAATTACAAAACAATGTAAATATACACAAAATATATTGATAATTATGCTAAATTCATACAGTTATGGATTATGGAAATTAGACGACACGAAACAATGCCCATAGTGATTATTACTATTCACTCATTTATTAGATATAGATACATATGCTTCTCCTTCAGGTTAGTGATAAAAACTGGTTCATCCAACTATAGTAGGTGACACTTGAACATACTACTTAGTGACTGAATATCGAACGCTTTTACAATTGACTCACCTCTTCATAAGGAATATTAGAAAGACGAAATACAAAAATATTAATTTAAACCATAGTTAAAGGTAATTTGCAAGTAACACGTTTTTCCATGAAGCTATAACTGGCCTACTTTACGGAATAGAAAGCATTAACAAACTTTATAAATTATATTGCGAACTGAGGTTAATTAGACACCTGCTGAAAATCAGGATGCACTAGACAACTATTTCATCCTAGTAAGGGACTCATGTGCAGTGTGCACATCGACATGCCTACCACAGGGTGTAGAGTTGAGAACTTTCACCATGTGTTGAAGCAAAAGATTCACATTTGGATCACTGAGCTGTAAAATTTCAATCAATTCGCTATATCGAGCAACTATCTTAAAATATCATTAGTAAGCAACTACCCCATGTTTGAACTACGTGATGTAAAATATAAATTTCAATAAACTCTACAGATCTCGCTAAGGTACTAATAGCTTGTGATGCAATCGTCGGCACAAACATGCGATCGTTTTCACGACTAAAGTTTATTTCAGTCTGGAGGTTTGTGTTATTTTCATTGTCGAATTCAGGATTCGATCTAAGCTAGAGCACTATTGAAAACCTGGCAGTAATGAATGGACATCCTGTCCTAGCATGGGACTTAACAGTAGTCTGGACCCACGTATTCGCATGCGGGACTCAGACTAAAGACCTTTGGTCTCGCGCACGAACGTTTAACCTTTAGACTACTGAGCCAGTATCCAACGGTGTTAATGCATAACTTCAATCGATCCATGATCTTGAACAACCCTTCATCCATTGTCTAAGATGGATAACTGTCCCACACACGACAAATATCAAGTGAACTATCCTGGTATTTTTTTCATATTTAATCATGATGAAATGAAGCTAGATCAAGTACAATAAAATAATCCATTGAAAAGTGAAGAACTTTTTTCTTCATTCTCTGTAATAAATTTCAGGATAATTACCAAGTTTGTTCATCAGAGTGTTGAAAAAAAAACCCAGTTAATTGTATAGGTTTTACAATATCAAGGTTAGACTGCATTATTTGAAGGTTATTCTCCCATTTGCGTTATAACTAAGTGACATCAGCAGATAGACGTATTGCGCTTCAGTGATCAATGAATTGATAAAATAAGACAAGATCATATCGTTTTTATGTATATAATTCCAATGTTTGTAAATCTTAGCAACTTATCTAACCGTTAACAAGCTAATCAGTCTTCTAATCTAAAATCTCTTTAATCCTGTGTCAGATCATAATTCGTTCCTTAGTCAGGGGAAGTCTCACTAATTGTTTCTCTTTACTACTTGCCTGATTAAACTGGTAATTGGTGTTGAAGTTGGGCAATAATTCTGCGATGATTGGCGCATGCATTATGAAATCAAGAGCTATATTTGGTCTGATACAAAACTTTTGTCCCTTAGAAGAATTACTTTGTTAGTTGACAAATTAATTCTTGAGCTTTTGAATTTAATGGAGACCATTTAAATTTGATGGGACGTTTAAATCGGTTCTTCAATCTAAGTGGAAGTGTCAGTATTGGGAGATTTTCTATAGTTTAGAGAAAATGAGAACTCATTGGTATGAGCCTGAAATTAATAGTTTTATTACTCGGCACGATCATCAGTAACAAGATTACCCTAATTTTCTTGTACACTTTTAGCATAAAATTCATTAAAAATGATCGATATAGGCAGTTTGTTTACGGATAACATAGAACATCAGCTAACTTCCTAGAACAAAGGTTTGTAATGTCACCAGATTTTATAGTGTTTAGTTAAGGGACATTTTAATGAATCTTGATAGATAACTATATCTTTGACTTGGAGAAACAGGGAAACATCAGATTCTCGAAGCATACAAGACTATTTTAAGACACAGGCTTCCAGGTACGTACCATCCTAGTATGTTTCGTAGATGTAAGCTCTTTAATTAATTTCAAACTACTATAATTTCTACAACAGATTTTTAAAGAAAATTAAATATACCAAGGTGAGTCTGAATCCCAGTTTAGGTCAATTTCAGTCGTACTTCAATACTTTAGCAACATACTGAATATTTAGAAAGTCTTTTTTATACCTAAAAGATAGAAAATGAATGAATAATTTAAACGACAGTTTACAATGAACACACAATATAATTGCTAAACGGAAACAAGATCTGAAATAAATCTGAGTTTAACACTCTAGAAACAGGTTAGACAATCGTTCAAAAAAAAGGTAGCCTTTATTAGATTTTTGTAATAAGAGGTCGTAGAGATTGTCGAATTTTCATGAAACTAAGTTAGACAACCACTAAATAATCTGGCAACATTAGACGGGCATTTCGTCCTAGTAGTAGATTTATCACAGATAGTATTCTGTTTTGTAAATTTTCAGTAAAAAACAAAATTTTGTGAATTGATATGCCAGTTCAACTGATTACACATATCATGTATTTATGATCAAATACCATCTAAATGCATTTTATTAGGTAAGACAAGGCACATTATGGTATGAAGCCGATTATTCCACAATGCATCTAATTAACATTTCACTCTATATATCTTCCGATCTCAGTCAGTTAGTAACAACGTAGAACTTCGTACGTACGTACATCAGTTCGAGTTGCCACATCACATTAGAACAGAGATGCAGTTGTCGATTCAAATCTCATAGTGGTAGAGATAGTAAGAGTATAAGCAGTAATCGGAAACATTAGGGTTTGAAGATGTTATTCAAAAAGTATAACCCAGTGAAATAAATTTGTGAAGAGAGAAAAAAGAGACAAAGAGGAATCGGAAGATTAGATTTTAGGAGAACACAAAGAGTGTATGCACCTGCACCATTGCAAACGATTTAGAGCCATGTCATTCAAAATCTCTAACCATCGGTTGTTATCATCATCATCATCATCCAATCTAGGTTAGAAATATCTTCCATGTGTACATATCTAATTCAAAACTGATAGGTTTACACCTTCTTACTAATATTCATCTATCCATTTTATATAATCAATTTAGATTATCATAAACAATCAAACAATAAAAGATAAAATCACATCATCAAATAGAACAGTAACAATGAGAGAGAGAGAAAAGAAAAAGAAGCTATTGTAGTTATAAAGTTGTTTTTTTTTAATGAAATCAACACAACTTGATAAATGCCTGTAGTAATAAATTAATCTTTCTCAATAAAAAAAACAACAACAACAAACAAACAAACAAAGAAGAAGAAACGTTGTTATTGAAAGATGCGATAAGACAGCGTAATATATATATGAATATACTAGGGCGATAGTATGACGATACGTTAGTAGGTTATTACTACTTAAAACGAATAAGTAATATATGAATAGAAAATATAAAGATAAATGAAACTTGAAGGTGTTATACACAAAGAATATCGAATGGAATGTTGTTCCATTGAGAAAGAGGTAAAGAAAAGTGAGAATTGATAAAAAGAAGATTAAACAACAAGAAAATTGTGTGTATACATTCAAAATTATGTAAGAGTAAGTGAGTATAAGAGAATTGTAAACAAACAAACAAACAAACATAGATATTTGAAAGTCAACAATGAATGATGACATAATTTCATGCATTTTATTTAAACTCTCAATACTTTCGATATTTCTATTCGATCATACATTCAAAATTGTATAAGAATAGTTATGATATATGAAACAAGAATGAGAAGAGAGAGGGGGAGGAGTCAGAGGTGACGATGGGCAGATTATTATTATCCCCAGTTAGTTATATAGGTAATGAAGTAACTATTAGTAATATGTATAATGGTATAAATCTACCAATACAGTGTATATATATTCTCTATCTAGACGTTGTATTGAATAGTACTATACGAATTAGATAGATATATGAAGATAATTATAATTCAGTCAGTCAGTTTGTAACAACGTAGAAACTTCTTACGTAATTGGTAATGATAATGACAAGAGTAAATGAATAAGACGACTGAATGAATGAATGAATAATGACAATGAATAGAGAGAAAGGATGAAGAAATTTGTTTACAAAGTATTATAATTATCATCATTGCACAATAAGCTAGTTTTAGCTAAGTAGTCAATACTACTAATAATAATGAACAATGTTTATGTTCATTTGTAATACAAGTAATATTTAACAGGAATAGTGATGATATATAACCACAAAATAAGTTCTCATCTTAACAACAAAACTAAGAATGAGTTGCACAAAAATAAATAAGAAAGAAAAAAACAACAATCAACAAATAAGAATAATGAAATTAGATGAATGTAAATCAATTTAGTAACATGATTATATTTCCTTTTCACAGCCA